TTTTTTTTTTTAGCATTTTATTTTTGCACTTTCCAGCCCAGTGTTAAATTCCAAAAAAAAAGACCTGAATTCAGTGTAAGTAGATCTCATAGTAATAATTTATTTGGTACAGTCAGTAGCAGATGGAAATAGCCTAATTCTTAACAACAGCAGTAGCTCAGAAAAAAATTAAACCATAAAAATGTTTTTATAACTTACCGATCAGACTCCACCAGCACAAACAGAACAAAACAAACATGTGAAACATTCTCTTCAGTGGTTCAGTGTCTGATCTAATAAAACCTCTGCTAAAAACACTCAACCTGATGTGACTCCTCCCCTGACAGAATTTGAACCTATTTAACATACTTTTTGTAAGGTAGTTGCCTGACTGTGTTAAATGGCTAAAAGTAGAAGAAAATTGTGTGAGCTGTGGATGAACTACATTTCACGATAAAACGGAATGAAAGTCTTGCGATTTTTAAATTGGTGTGTATATTAATTCAGTTCTTAATGTTAGTGCAAGAAAAAAAATGCGAAGTTAAAACTGTCTGCCATCTCACACTATCGGTTCAGTTTCTGAGTCAAACTGAAAGCTGCTGTTGTCTGTTCTTCAGAAATGTGGTTTGATCTGTTGAGTGGACAAACATATTGTAGGTGAGAGTGGACATTCAGATAATGTGTGCATAACATGTAGATGGTGGGTGTCTTGTTGTCCTGCTGCATTGAAAAGCTTTTTAAAACTGTTAAAATATATATATGAAAAATGTGATGGGGGGGTGATGGTGGTGGGGGTGGGGGAGACAAACCTTTGAAATGTGTTGCGTGTGAGTGAGTCCACTAAATGCATGAACCAAAGACATTGAATTCTTTCCCATAATACTGGGAGAGTCAAATTGTAAATAAAAAAATTTTAAAAAAGCAATACATTAAAATTCTTAAGATTCCGCACAAACGTGGCTGCCACCTGCATTTTTCAGAAGTTAATTCAGTTGTACAGTGCAGTTGTCATTTTCGTACAGAACACCGGTCTGCCTTGACTGAAGACAAATTGAAGGCTCCTTTGAGACTAGTTACCAGCAGCTACTGCCCGAACTATGCAAAACTGTTACACTCAATTAGGTTATCTACACTTTTAAAAGAAACACAGTTGTTTAAAGTTATTGAAAGTACTTCATCTTCAGGTGAGACACTGCATCCTCTTCAAACATGATGCAATAATTCAACAAGCAAATAAATGTCTCTTGTGCAAATCTTAGTTTTTGCCCTAACTTATGCTACGCCTACATCCTACGTTATCCGCTAGTATGCCACTCTCTCGTGAACACGTACAGGACAGTTAGCAGAAGCTAGAGAGGCTATGGTTTATAACGTTTTAAATGTGGATATTATTCTTACACAAATGCATCAATTCATTTCAGAAGGCATCTATTAATATTAAAGTATGGCTTGAGGGGGAGTAAATCATGGGGTCATTTTCATTTTTGAGGGAACTATCCGTTTAAGGTGGGATCTTTTGACCGGTAAACAAGCACTCAGCGCACCTTAATATAATTGTTCCAGAAGTGATATTTTATTTTGAACACCACATGACGCTCTAAGCTGCGATTATGCACACTTTCTATTAAAATAACACCTGCTGTTAGATTTAACTAAACCCTAAATACCTCTTTGTACATTGATAACTAATAATTCATAGTATGATTGTAGATGTTTCTTCAGTGACTGATTTTTTTGGAGGCTCTTAATATGGACTTGTGTTTTTCCTGCTGTCTGGAAGGAGTTTTAATATAGCGTGATCGGTCATTTGACATTTAGTGCTCAGAAGTCACGCTACACGCCAGCAAAGGTAAAAACTGAAAGTGAGTAAAAATGACTTGAGAACAGTGTTTCTAATTAATTTTGGTGTATTTGTTTCTTGTTTTGCCTTTGGATATCAGTGCTGTTATGCTACTGAAAAAAAATAAGTCTTACTATAGAATTTCTCATTTTAGTTAGTTACTCCCCAAAACTGATGAAAACGTAATCAGTTATTAACCACTGCATATTTGCATGATACCATAAACATTACAACAGTGAATCAAACATTGAATTTACTCTTAAAATGATTCTCAGGCATTGTCAGACAAAGAAAAAGATCTTTATAAAAACAGGATGTGATATAGACAAGAATACCTATTCTACTAGCACCGCTAATTATGGAAAACAGTACTGAAACTTGCATTGCGTATCAAGGCATATGTGTGTATAAGGTTATGAATATATATAGACACGCATATTCCCATGAATATAAATCTTAATATTAATACAACAGACTCAAACTCTAAGTTAGTCACAGGAGTTTCCTATTAAAAATCATCACATTAAAAAAGATTAAACTTTGATCATCTTCTCATGCTAACAGGCACGTAGTCTACTTGATCCTCCTCTTCATCTTTCTGGAAAAAAAAGTATAACATAAGATATAATAAAATATGTTAAATAAAGAACAACTACATCAATGGTTTTGAGGGAAAATAAATACTGAAATGTAGTAATAATAAATATGAATAATAAAGATGAATATGAAAATTGAAAATGCCCAGCCTGCATAACAGAAATATGGCCAATAATATATCAAGAATGAGCCTGAAGTGAAAAATCTCCTGAATTAATATATGCCATACAGTAGTTTGATTCAGTTCCTTTCTCCCTTTAAAAGTATTTATTGTCATTTCTTTTAATCAATCATATTGTATTTTATTATTATTATTTTCCCTGCTCTCTGCAACACCTTTAGAACATTTATTCAGTTATTCTAATATTCTAGTGTTTTCTCAGTAGCTTTATAAATGCACTCTAGTTCAAAATATGCAAGTAACTTAATCTGACTCATTTTATTTACCGATAGACTCTTAAAACCACAATTGAAAAAAATATATAAATAAATAAATAAATACTAACAAAATAACTTACTCAGAGGTATTGTATGCCAGCGATACACATTTAACAGTAAAATGGCTTCTTCTGTAACTACAGTTAAGAAAGAAAATATCTATTACTATTTTATGTTATTATGTGATGGATAATTATACATACAAAAACACAAACACACACTGATCTACATCTGACTCACTGCTGAAATGATACAGAGAATATATTTAGAAATACATTTTCTTACCAATGTATGTGCATTTCTTTCGTAGAACGTTGGCTCATGAATCATAACGACATGAGTGATCTCATCTTCACAAATCTGAACTGTTTGATCAACAGTAATGGATTAAAACTCAAATAGATGGATGAATAATGGACACAACTCAACTAGATTGTTCTTTACAATGTGTTATTTTAGGGCTTTGAAAGTTGAATCACTAATGCACACAATTAGATATATTTAATGCCGCAATAAAAAAAAAAAAAGTTCATTAACATAATTATGTATGTGTCAGGGTTCTGGACTGTCTGTGTGTGTTTTGCCCCCCATTACCCAGGTTCTCCTCGTGTTAATTGTGTTAATTTGATTATGATTCCATGCACCTGTGTTCCCCTGATTGCCCTATGTTAATTAGCCCCAGTCTGTGTAGTCTTCCTTTGTCGGTTCTGAACGTCGTTGTACGTCTACCCCTGAGTCTCCTGTGTTCCATGTTACCCCTTGGATTTCTGGATTAAAAGACATTTGTGAGATTACGCCTTGTCTCCTCGCTCCTCGCCGCAGGCTAGTGTGATAGAAGAACCGACCGAAAACAGTTTATTGCGTGTTTCCCATCCGTTTTGTTTCCGTTTTTCTCGCAGTGTTTTTGTTTCCGTTGTGCGCCCCAATGGATCCCCTCCTTCGCCCCGAATTCATCCTCCTCCTGCTGGAGCAGGGAGAAAAATCGCACGAGGGTCATACCAGACTGTTTCTGGCAATAGCCCATCTCACCACCTATCCGGACGACGCGCTCTGAGCGTTCTATGATGCCAGCCTCAACACTGCGTGCAGAGCGCCGTCATACGAAGATGGCCCTCGAGCGGAATTCGCCACCTTTGTGGAGTGAACACTTTGTGGAGTGGGCGAGAAATGGATCTCCGTTCTCCGCTGGTTCCCAGGAGTATATCGCCAGTGCCACTCCCGACCCAGAGCCCAGCCCACCATCTCCCCGATGCGAGGAGCGCATGCCCGAGCCCACCGCTGACGGAGAGCCATCGCTCTCCAGTGCCTGCTCCTAGAAAGCGCCCTCCAGTGCCCGCTCCTAGAATGCACCCTCAAGTGTCCGCTCCTCCAGAGCGTAATCCTATTCCGGTGATCAGCCTAGAGGGGCCTCCGGATCCAAAGTTTAGCCCCGAATGCCCGGAGGCTCACGAATGCCAGCCCTCCCACCCTCTCCTGCCTCCTCCTCCGCTGTCGTCTGGCAGCCCCTCTGCTCGCCCCCAGCCCACCATATATGCAGTGCGAGCTCCGTGGGACTGCCATCCTCCAGCGTCGCCATGGCTGGAGTTTCCCTTGACTCCGCCTCCAGCCTCTAAGCCCCGGACTCCGCCTTGGCCCGTGGACCCGTCGGCTCCACCATGGCTCCTAGCTTCCTCCTCTCCGCCGTGGCCCGGCAGTCCACAAGCTCCGCCAGGCTCCCTCGTCCCTCTGGGTCTGCCTTGGTCTGGCGTCGACCATCCTGCACCTCGGGACTCCACTCCTCCGTCCCTCTGGCTCCTTCATCCCCTCGGCTCCGCCTCAGT